CCAAATTTCCTTGTGAACGAAAGTCTTCCATATTTTGGAGACGGCAGGAACAATGTGGCATTTTTTATCGGCAAAATTCGACTTCGAACCCCGAGACGCGGGTAGTTTTTAGCGATTCCTCAGGGTTGAAACCCACAAAGCTTGTCACCGCAACAATCAAAACACTCTGCCACCCCTCCCACCCAACAGATTTGTTTACCACCCAGATTCTGGGTGGGCACGTGACCAGCTGCAACCAGCGTCTTTCTCCCAACGAACAAGAGAGGCAAAGGAGAGAGAGCCTGGGAACGAGGTTGGCACGATTTCTAAGGGTAATCGCGTCAAGTTCCCTCGCTTTGTGTTGCTTGCCGTCAGTGAAGAAGCATGACCATTTTTTTTTTTCGTTCAAGCATAATAAAACAATTATTAGATTCGGTTTTTGTGATATTTATGATATGCAGAATAATCGAGGNTTTTTTGTTTTTTTTTTTTGTTTTTTTTTTTTCGTTCAAGCATAATAAAACAATTATTAGATTCGGTTTTTGTGATATTTGTGATATGCAGAATAATCAAGGTCTCGTTACGGGTTATCAGCCTCAGCCTTCGGCTTCGACTGATAACCCCTGCCTTGACCTTGATTATTCTGGATATCACGGAAACCTCATCCAATAATTCTTTAGAAATATCTTTTCGGTGGAAAATTTTTGATTTCAAGTTGAAAATAAAGTAAGGTAGTACACACTACTTGAAGCTTTTAGCGGTAAACGAAGAAAAAATATATCGTAAAAGGTGCTATTCACCTGAAAATGATTTGGATCGGAAAATAAATTTCGAAAAATTAAAACATTGTGGGTCGCAACCAATCTTATTTCAACTTTACACGGGAAACTAGGAATAAGTTCATAGTTTGGGGGGGAGGGATGAGATGTTTGTAGCAGTATAGAAAGGTGCCACAAATACCTCAACACCCCCCCTCCCTCCCTCCAAAAAAAGAAAAGAAAGGAACAAAAAATGAAATTGGGCAAATGGACAACAGAAACAAGGCAAGGTGGGTATATTTCTTTATTTTATTCAGTAAAAGAAG